ATATTGATGATAATGTGATTCTGAGACTTGTTTTGTTGATGGTGAACTCTTTCTGAAACTTGTTGTTTGCTTGATTTTTGTTAATGATGAACTTGATTCTGAAACTTGTTTTGTTGATGATGAACTCTTTCTGAAACTTGTGGTTTGCTTGATTTTGTTGATGACCTTGATTCTGAAACTGTTATTTTTTGCTTCTGAACCTCTTCTTCTTTCTCTTTGTTGAATATTGATGATGAGTATAGCTCTGAGATTTATTGATTTTTGATGTTCTTTCGTTGATGATGATGATGCTCTGAGACTTGAAAGTTTATTGTTGTTGATGATGAACTTGCTTCTGAAATCCTGTTTTTTGTTACTTCTGAACCTTTCTTTCTTCTCTCTTGGAATGTTGATGATGATGAGGAAATTCTAAAACTTGTTTGTATTTTGAATGTTCTGAAACTGATTTTTGCTTCTGAAAATCCTTTTTCTCTCTTTTTGAATATTGGTGATGATGGTTAAACTGGGTTTACAGTTTGTGCAGTGTTGCAGTTTGTTTGGGCCAGCTGATTACAGTTTGTGGTTTGTAGTTTGACCTGTTTGTTATAGTTTGTTGACAGTCTTGGCAAGTTTTGTGTTAGGCTTGCAGTTTAGACAAGCTTGTTTGGCCTAGCAGTTTGTAGTTTGAACTGCAGGCTGGTTGAATTTGTTTTGGGTAAGCTTGGAGTTTGTTTGGGATTGTAGGTATGGTATTTTGATAGCTTGTGGTTTGTTTCTTTTGCAGCTAGCTTGGTTGTTGGTACTAGCTTTGTACAGGTTGTGCACAGTTTGATTATTTTCTGCAGTTTTGGCCAGCTTGTGTTTTGTTTATGTAGGTTCTGCAAGTTGTTTGGTTTATCACAGTTTGTGTGACTTGCTGTAGGCTTTGGCTTGTGATTTTGCAGTTTAAACTGCAGATTTTGGCAAGTAGGTTGAGAAGCTGTTTGGGCTTGCTTGCTATGCAGGTGTTTAGCAGGCTTGAGGGTTTTGTAGTTTGTTTACAGGCTTGCTGTAGTTTATGCAGCTTGTGCAAGTTTTTTGAGTTTTTGCTATTTGCAAGTTATGCAGGTTCTAATGTTCTCCCCCCCTTTGGACTGTTATGCAGTCCTTTTTTTTATATCTTTTTTTTTTGTTTTTGTTCACTTATGCCATCATGCCTTAGCCAAACTGCAAACTTTTCACCAGGTCCTCTCTTTCTCTCTCTCTCTCTCTCTCTCAAATAAGCACTTTTGCTTATTATATTATTTCTGAAAAGTTGCCTAGGCCTTGGAACATGATGACAGCTATGACAAGCCTTTGGCTTGTCAATTGGTTTTCCCTCTACATTATATTTGCCTGCTGCATTGTGTACTTTTCTGACTGTATACTTTATGCGTTGTACTTGGTAGCTTCCAATTGATTTGTAACTCAGTTTGCTTTAGTGGTTGACTTTGTACAGTTTTTATGCTTGCAATGTTACTTTGTATGCCATATTTAGCAATGCATCTTGACTTTTTTTGCAACTCAGCTTGCTTTGCTTTAGTATGCTTTGGTTACTTCCTTTGCAATGTTGTGCAGTGCTTAGACAGTTTGAAATTTGGCGCCTTGGTTTTCCTTTGCAATGCCTATGTTTTTGCATTTGAACCAATTGTATGCTTGCATTTTTTATCTTTTACTTTTCTCTTTGTGAACCAAGAAGAGCGATCTTCTTGTGATTTGCAAAGAGAAAAATAAAAACATGATGAACAAATAGCATTTTGATTCTGGCCGGCAAACTTTAATGATGACTTTCTCCTTTCTTTTTTGTTTGAAAACTCTTTTCTCAATTAACTGTACTAATTTCTTTTCTTTCTTCTTTTTCAGGTGAAAGCAACTTGGACGACAGAGGAAGCATAGGAAGCAAGAGACCTTGGGCATGGGAGCACTGGAGCTTGAATGTTTTAGACTTAGATTTATTTTCCATTTATTGTAAACAATTATTATTTTAAATACTATAAGTTGTAAACTTACAATATTCAAATAAATTTTGTAACAACATTTGAAATGAATAAAAGTCTTTATCCAAAAGAATTTTTCTACTGTCAAATATCTTGCCCTTCTTCCTTGCATGTTCGTTTAATTATTTAAGACTCTCAAATCAAAATAATTGAAATTGTATCTCAACAATTCTAATCCAGATAAAATAAATAATCAAAAACTGTGCAGTCTCGTAACCTTGCATCGGTATTCCAATCACAATGCGCACTGTATAATAAACAAGCAAGCATTCCATTAACCGGCAAACCTTTCACTCCATTAACAAGCAGATGTCTTGATATTCCAAATAACAATCTCAACTCTTATCCCAGATAATCAGGCTTTGAGAAACAAACAATTAACCTTTCAGCAAACTTGAAAAAGTGAGAAACCAATGTAACGGTAAACTGAATTTCTGTGGATTCAATTTCTTCTGAGAAATGCGAGAGAAATCCCTAATTCTTGATTTACTGCCAAAGAAAAGTTTGTTTGATCAATTCCTGAGCCAATCTTAAAAATCAGAGAAAAAACCCTAGGATTGTGATTTCTTGTAAAAAAGGGAGGGCAAATTTTGGGGTACAACAGTGAAGTATCGTACTATCCTAAGATACCAACTTATGATTCCTATTTCATATTGATGAGGTTTGCCCGGTTTGTTGCAAGGCACGTTTGGATACATTTGGGAAACACGTGATTCATTGTAGAGAGCTTCTAGGTTTCAAATACCGACATGACCTTGTTAGGGATGTCTTGTTTAATATATTCTGATGTGTCATAATATCTGTGAAGAAAGAGGCGCCTGTGAATTTTTTGACTGACCCAGTTGAGAGGAGATCGACACTTAGGCCATCAAATATTTTGGTGTATGGGTGGATAAAAGGGAAACATGCTTGTGTGGTCTTGACGGGAGTTTCTCCACTGGTGGATTTGAAGATTGGTGGTTTTACTGTGGGACAAACAGTTCTCAAAGCTGCTTCCAGTAAAGTGGTCAAATATCAGAAAGCGTGTTCTGAAAATCAACATATTTTTATACCATTTGCCTTTGACACTTTTGGTTTCCTAGCACCAGAAGCAGTTGATCTTTTACAGAGAGTTCAAAGGCCTATGAATAGCAATGTTGTATCTCCTAGGTCTATGGATGTAGTTTTTAAGAGGATTAGTTTTGCGATCCAAAAAGGAATAGCGGCGCAACTTGTTGCCTGCTTGCCTTCTATTTCTGTATTGACCTAATTTTTTGTTAGATAAACAATATTAAAGATAATCTGGCAATAAAGAGGTGTAAGATTGGGAGATCGATTAGGTGGGTCGGAGAGTACGAGAGCAATGAGTCGGTTTCTCACCTATTTTTCAAATGTTCATCAGTTTTTGCAAGTGCGTGGAGTTCCATATGTGAGTGTGAAGCATTTGGAAGCCAAGGAATGATAAGATCTTCCATAATGAGAAAATCCGAGTTGAGAAAATGACAGAAGCGGCAAATTTGCTTTTCTGAAAATGACTGATTAAAATCTATTGTTTGGATAAAAAATATGGAGAATTGTTAAAATAATATAAATTTATGAAGTATTTTATTCAAGTCAAATTTAAGGAATTTCAAATGACACCGAAAAGTAAAGAATTTGAAATTGTTCCATAATTTCAATTTTAAATTGTTTATTATTAATTTTTCAAAAATTTTAAAGTGATCCTTATATTTTATGAGAATTATAAATTTATCCTCAAAATTTTCAAAAAATTGCAAACAAGTCCCTAAATATTTTTCAAATTTTACAAATTAGTCCTTGAAATTTTCAAAAATTGCAAATTGGTCCCTATTTTTTATATTTTTAAATTTGGCCCGAAAATTTTAAAACTTATGAAAATGACTCCAAAATTTTAATAATGAATCATTTTAATACTCCATCAAAATAAATAAAAAATTAAAATTGAATGAATTTCAATTGAATCTTTTAAATTGCTTTGAATTTTGAATTTCTTAAAATTTCTCAATTACCTCATCCAAACACACTCTAAAGGAATAGGTAATTACATAGCTATATGGTGTCTAAATCCTAAAGCTTATCTCGGCATCATGAAAGTTTGATTAGAATTTTCTGATGTCTTGACAATTTTCCAAGTTGAGTTTGCAGTCTTCTTTGTTCTTTTTTCGGTTCAGCAGCTTGTGAAGTGATTGGTCATTTAGTAGTCGTTTCTGGTGTCATTGCTTTGCAGCAGTAATTTAGGCTTCAAGCGTCATGTGTAGACACTGTGTCACAGGTGTCTATTAGTTTAGTTGCTGTTTCCATATTGGCTGGCCTTTATGTTTTTAATATTATAGGAGTTATCTCTTGTTTGGTCTGGCGGTTCTTTTGATAAAGGCTGCAAAGGGTTGTAAGAAATTACCATATCTCTTAACTGGCAATATCAGACAAATGACAGAATATTTCACTGTGTACCAAACATAGACATATTGTTCAAGCATCCAAGGAAAATGCAAGCATTAATCAGTTCATGGATAAATCAAAATGTTTGTGCTCCAAACAACTGTAAAACGTACAAAGATGGTGAATAGTTTATATTAACAAAAGGCTAAACTAAAAGCTACAATAATTTTGGTACACAAATATTGATGGAAATGTATGTGAAATCTTTGCAGCATCACTTGAAACATAAAGACAGGAATTCAAAGGATGATAGGCTTAATTTTCTAAGTTTAATAAACAGTGTAACTTTCCAACTAGTGTTCAGAACCATATGTGTAATCCCACCAAACTCTAATGTATAGGAGTGAAACAAAATCTCCAAATTCATGTCCACTTGTTGATAGTTGAACTAACCTTGCAAAAAAATTGCCCCACACTTGTTGTTTCTTGCTTTTCCATCATAGTAGTATCAAATAAGATATCTCTTCATCATTTGAAAAATCAGAAACAAAACTAAGTGTGGCAGCCTAGTGATAATGTCTTCCATCAATTTTGGAGGGCGATACTGTCTTTCTTTTGGATTTTGTATCATGATCCTGACATGTAAGTGTATCGTGTTTGAGCTCCAGTCGTAAGCTCAACAATTTTCGCTGCAAAACATATATTAAGGAAAAACATATCAGATATTCGAGATGAAATGATGATGACAAGAAACTAAGCACAGATATATAGATAAAGCACAGAGAAAAACATCATATATTTTCGCAAGAGCATCTTATGTCGTATCTTTCTAGGCATTGTTTGGGTAAAAAGCTTATTTAAATGCTTATAGCACAAACACTTATCATAGTAAAGTGTTTATGCACATATTATTTCTATAAAACAAAAGATAAAAATACAACTAAACTGTTTTTATATAATAAGCTGTAAGTTATCCTGAAAAGCTTATGAAAATAAGCTATAAACAACTTATAGACTAGTAAGTTATTTTCAAAAGCAGGTTAAACGACGGAAGCTGTTATTTGTACTCTACCTAATGAGAGATCCTATCATCACCATAGTAATGTTGTGCCACGACTTCAACTAACGTTTCCAAATCCTTTAATGCAGATAAGCATAATGGATAAGGAAATGAATTAGGCTCAACAGAGCCTGTAATATTTTGGTCAGGAGCACTATCAATTATATGTTCATTGATAGCTGTGACGATTCCCAGAACGGTAGTCACTACATGAAATCATATATCTTCTCAGTAAGGTACATGTTTCTATAACAACAGAAAAGTAAGTAAAATATATACTATAAGACAGACACAACTAGTTTAAACTTTAAAGACAGTGTCGGTAAACTACTAAACAAGGAAAATGTAATAAGATTTAAAAATTTGCAACAGGAATCTAGCACAAGGCCCACTCAACTAAGTTATTTGTTTTTCCTAGTTAGTGTTTTGATGATCATTAAAATTTAATTGTTGATAGAAGCTTAATTTCGTGTCAGCTCAGTTTTAGAAAAAAAAAATTCTTCCCATTTTGTCACTAACAGAAAGAGTCTTATAAGTTATACTACTTTTTAAATCAAAAGAAGTAGCCAAAAGTTACCAAAAATTCACAAAACCTGCTTCTGGTCCAATCTCTGATTCAGAAAACCGTTCAGGAAGAAGCCATGTCAATCCCTATCCACATATTCAATCAACAAATAAGATAACAAGTTGTGTACAAATTCTCATATACAACAATGTTTCAACAATGTCCTTCATAGATTTGTTTCGGCAGACAATAACAATCTAACACGGTCACTACACAGATTCTGACATGCTCTGACATGCTGACACAAATTTGAAAAAAAAATTACACAATTCAACATAATCATATATGTAGGTGTCGTGTGTCAGTGTGAGACAGACACCAGAGATGACTTCGAATAAAACTATCATGTTACAGAATGACAATCACAATCATAAAACTGGTTATTTAATTTGTTTTAAGATTGCATTTATCAGTGAAGCAAAAACCCAAACTTTTGAAGGATTATACGAATCTTTAGGGAGATTTTTTTTTTATATAAGCTTGCTAAGGGAAGAGAAAGAAAAACAAAAAATTTGAATCAAAGTGAAGTGTGTTAAAGATGAAGAAGGCAAAGTTTTAGTTCATGAAAAAGATATAAAGGATAGGTGGAAGAAGTATTTCTACAATTTATTTAATGAAGGATATGATATCTCACCGGACTCTAACAAGCTCGACATTAAGGAAGAGGATCAAAATTATAACTACTATAGTCGAATTCAGAAACAAGTGGTAAAAGAAGCGTTGAAAAGGATGAATAATAGTAAGGTGGTTGGACGTCACAACATACCTATTGAAGTGTGGAAAATTCTTAGAGATAGATGCATTGGGTGGCTCACCAAACTCTAACGAAATTATGAGGTCAAAGCAAATGTTAGATGATTGGAGAAGAAACACTTTATTTCCAATCAATAAGAATTGGATCGAACGGAGTCATACTATGAAGTTATGGAAGAAAAAAAAAGAGTCGAATAAGGATTTAAATGAAAGGTTGGAGACGAGCTTTAAAAACGCATGACTTTCACCAAAGCAGAAATAAGATGGAGTATATGGAATGTAAGTGCAATAAAAGGAAAAGTGTTTCTAACATAGAGGTCAAAGTTGGAGATCATATCATCCAACAACTCACGCGATTTAAATTTCTTGAGTCTGTAATACAAAACGATGGAGAAATAAAATGGAGTGTAAACCATTGAACTCAAACTGGGTGGGTGGCTGAAATAGAGGAAGGCTTTAGGGATTTTATGAGACACGAAGGTATTGTTAGAGTCGAAAGGAAATTTTTTATCGGATCGCGGTAAGACCTACAATGTTGTACGGAACAAAATGTTGAGTTGTTAAGAATCAATACGAAAATAAGATAAATGGAGCAGAGATGAGGATGTTGTATTGGATGTGTGGTAGGACCAGACAAAATAAAATTCGAAATAACAATGTTAGTGAGAGTGTTATGGTAACACCTATAGTAAAAAAGATGGTGGAAAATAGATTTAGGTAGTTTGAGCATGTAGAGAAAAGACCTATAAATTCTATGATAAGGAGAGTAGATCAGATAGAGGGGAGTCAAACAGTTAGAGATAGAGGAAAACTTAGAAAAACTATAATAGAAGTTACTAAGAAAGATTTTGAAATTAAGGATTTAGATAGAAGTATGATCATTGATAGAAATAATGGCAGTAGTTAATCCATGTAGCTGATTCAACTTTGTGGAATAAGGCTTAATTATAGTTGTTGTTTGCATTTTCAGTGCTATCTTATGAACATTTTTACCGATTAACTCCAATTTGTATGATTTTATGAAGGAAATACCGATATTTCCATTTTCAGCAAAAGAATCATAACATAGCACTTAATGCAACAATAACCAAAACTAACAAACAACTAAATCCATAACAGAATCACCATTTTCCTCTAGTTTTTGGATTACCCTTCACCAGTCATAGAAATTGCAACAAGTACTTATTAACAAGCTACATAGCACGAACACCAATACGATACCGAAACACGTGAATACATTCAATCAATTCTAGTTATCTTAAATTCTTACTTGTATCTATCTACATGCCATTGTAATTGATAACAACACAAAAGCATAACCATTCTAAACAATTCACTATGCATATGAAACAGATTCTAAGAATAACATCGTAAAAGAGTTAATCGAAAACAGAAACTTACATTGGCCAAAGATTCTAAAGAGTGCACGTACTCTTTGTTCTGTCTCACCCATCTCTTATAACCTTCCATAGCTTCAAAAACTCCGAAAAAACTACAAAAACAAAAAATTCATATACTGAGAAACAAAATCACTCTCGAATTCAAACTCAGAAGGTTCTGGAACATCTTCTGGATGATGATCTGAATACCTGAAAACAGTAAGAAAGCAGAGGCTTCATGTTAATAAACACAACCTAAAATTAACCTTTTTTTTTCAACATCAATAGAAAAAAGCAGAAAATTTCACAAATACAAATTAATAAACCATACAATAGTTTTGAGGTAATTCATATTTCATCGCGCTTAACGACACCATCCTCGAAGAGCTTTTTCAGTGCAGAACCAATCTATATAAAGTCAAGAAAATAACAAAATAGTCAATTACCTTGCAGTTAAGCAATTGTTCTAATTTTCTTCACAATTCACATTATAATATTATAATAGAGAAAAGACATTCAGGTTAAATGAAAACAATTAAAAATTTATCGAAAAAAAGCTGCGGCTTCAGGCACCGGCATAACTTCACCATCAATCTTTGAGGCAAATCACGAAGACCTCTTCTCCTTGGAGAATCTCACTTCTTCAGCTCTAACTAGAGAAGGAGGAGGATAGTACCGAAGCCAATCCTCGTCGGCGGGAGGATCTTCGACTCTAACCCTAACTTTCTCTCTCTTTTCTGCACCGGGAGAATCCGAATCCAAATCAGAACTCGAGTTGAAGCAAGAGCGTTTGTGAGGTGTGGTGGTGATTGTGTCGCATACGTATGGAGTAAGGAAAATAGATGTGAATCAGTACCTACTTTTTATTAGTTTTCAATCGAAAATTGGTGTTGAATAGGGAAGTTTAATTGTTTGAAGAGAAATAGGAGAAAGGATGAGAATAAAAGGGTTTGCATTGAGAAGAGGAATAAGCAAAAATTAATTTCTTGAAAATAAATAAAATAACATTGTTTATTTGGTCTTCTCTAAATGTTTAACTTATGTATCGAGAAACAAAAAGGAATGGGAACCAAGATTGTTTTGTTTGTTTTCAAGGTCCATTAACTAAATTAATTCAAAATTAAATAAAAAATGAATACAAATACATTATAAAAAAGTTTTCTTTTATAGCAAAATTATAAATAGAAAAATATATGAGAGAGTGTCAAATGACAAACTTACCAAAATAGTCATCTTTATTATTATATTGTATAGATTGGGAGAACTCTATCCATTTGCACAACATAGGTAATTTCAACACCTATAATTTATATCAAAGTAAACATCTCAAATCACTCTTTCCCAAAATCAATTTTAAGCCATCTAGATCAATTAATCAAAATCCACAAATCAACGGTTAGAAATAGATCCTCGTTTAGGTTTTCGTTTTTTCGGTTCCGTGTTTTTCTGATATCGAAACCCATCTTCAATTCACGCATCTTCATCACCTGGATCGGTTCCAGAACCTTCTGAGTTTGAATTCGAGAGTGATTTTGTTTCTCAGTATATGAATTTTTTTGTTTTTGTAGTTTTTTCAGAGTTTTTGAAGCTATGGAAGGTTATAAGAGATGGGTGAGACAGAACAAAGAGTACGTGCACTCTTTAGAATCTTTGGCCAATGTAAGTTTCTGTTTTCGATTAACTCTTTTACGATGTTATTCTTAGAATCTGTTTCATATGCACAGTAAATTGTTTAGAATGATTATGCTTTTGTGTTGTTATCAATTACAATGACATGTAGATAGATACAAGTAAGAATTTAAGATAACTAGAAGTGATTGAATGTATTCATGTGTTTCGGTATCGTATTGGTGTGGCTGAAAGGAAGAATCGAACTATTTTTGACATGGTTCGATCAATGCTCAAAAGCAAGAACATGTCGAAAGAATTTTGGGCAGAAGCAGTACAATGTGTTGTTTATATTCAGAATAGATGTCCACATTCGAAGTTAGAAGACAAAACACCACAAGAAGCATGGAGTGGACAAAAGCCAACAATTTCTCATCTCAAGGTATTTTTTAGTATAGCTTATGCACATGTACCAGATCAACGAAGAACAAAGCTTGAAGACAAAAGTCAGAAGTACATATTCATTGGATATGATGAGAAGACGAAAGAGTAGAAGCTCTTCAATCCCATAAGCAAGAAAGTGATCGTGAGCAGAGACGTTCGAGTGAACGAAGCAAGCAAGTGGGACTGGAACAATTCGACAGAGGTTGTTGACACAGTCGAAGAAACAATTGTAGCTGTACCTGTTGGCTCCTAAATTCGACACCCTTGTTGTTATCATATAGACCATTAATTATGAGTCAGAAGAGTTTTCCTACATAAGAAGGCTTCGACCAGCTGATCATGTCGAAGGCTCATCAAAGAATGACAAGATACTTAGAGGAATTCCTTTAAGTGGGAATCTTGTTGTCTTCGACGTCGAAGGAACCTCTCGACGAAGGTACCTGATGCCCAAGGTCGAACGGTTTGAGATTTGAATTGTTGGAGGGAAAATGGTTCCCAGCAGTTACCAAGTGCAACGTGCCGAGAATAGAAGCGTCGAAGGCTGTGAGCGTACCATGTGGCGTCATCTCGAAGCAGCGTAACTGCCCAGCGGTTACTTAGGATTTGTTTTAGTATAAATACTAGTTGTTCACGTAGTTTTCGCGTGTGTTCATCATCTTATACAAGTCACTCATTTAGATTCAAGTACCCAGCGTGAGCGAAAGAATCATTGAGAATGTATGTGTGAAACACCATTTAAATTAATCAAAGTCTTTTATATTCAATCAGTTTATCGCTTTTCATTTACTTATCTCCGTCGAAGCCTTTTACTTAACGCTTTTATTTATTCTATCAAGCTTTTCTTCATGCAATTTACTTAAAGTGTCTTTACTTTACTGGCATTAATCACCATTAGGATTAGTCAAACTCCAGAAAATCAACCATATCTTAGGATCAATCTGATTGATCCTGCTAGTCACCAAATAAGTAACCTTTTGGAAGATCAACGGTTGTTTACCAATTTTCACGGTAAATAAATTGGCACACCCGGTGGGACCTTGTGTTGATTTTTACGATTAACCGTTTTATATAAAATATCCTCCTTTTTCGAGAGTATTGCATGTTATTGAGAAGTGGTAGAATATACACCAACGAAACCAATACTAGGAGAAGAAGTGAAGAGATGGCGAATCCGCCAAACAATGGAGAAATCCTACAAACAAACGTGGGAGCAACGATTATCCCAACCGTAAGTGAAGCGGTAACCGCTGGTTCAACGCCAGCAATAACGGTTACATAAACGGGGCCATTACCTCCATTTACAGGCCCCAGAATGCCTTTGGGAACTACCCCACCAAGGGAAACCAAGGAACTAGGCCATATGTTCCCCCAGGTTTTTCGACAGTCGGTTTAAATCGAGAACCACTTTATGGCATGCCAACTTCTGAATTGGCTAGCCTGACGAATGCTGCTTCCACTTTTTCAGACCCCTTAGTGAGCGCCTCTTTGCCACTACAAGGCTCTGGGGTTGGTATGGCGAACAGGGGTAGGACCCAACTCTTAGGTGTTGGCTCCTAAATTCGACACCCTTGTTTGTTATCATATATAGACCATTAATTATGAGTCAAAAGAGTTTCCTACATAAGAAGGCTTCGACCAGCTGATCATGTCGAAGGCTCATCAAAGAATGACAAGATACTTAGAGAAATTCCTTTAAGTGGGAATCTTGTTGTCTTCGACGTCGAAGGAACCTCTTGACGAAGGTACCTGATGCCCAAGGTCGAATGGTTTGAGATTTGAATTGTTGGAGGGAAAACGGTTCCCAGCAGTTACCAAGTGCAACTTGTCGAGGACAGAAGCGTCGAAGGCTGTGAGCGTGCCATGTGGCGTCATCTCGAAGCAGCATAACTGCCCAGCGGTTACTTAGGATTTGTTTTAGTATAAATACTACTTATTCACGTAGTTTTCGTGTGTGTCCATCATCTTATACAAGTCACTCATTTAGATTCAAGTACCCAGCGTGAGCGAAAGAATCATTGAGAATGTATGTGTGAAACACCATTTAAATTAATCAAAGTCTTTTATATTCAAGCAATTTATCGCTTTTCATTTACTTATCTCCGTCGAAGCCTTTTACTTAACGCTTTATTTATTCTATCAAGCTTTTCTTCATGCAATTTACTTAAAGTGTCTTTACTTTACTGGCATTAATCACCATTAGGATTAGTCAAACTCCAAAAAATCAACCATGTCTTAGGATCAATCTGATCGATCCTGCTAGTCACCAAATAAGTAACCTTTTGGAAGATCAACGGTTGTTTACCAATTTTCACGGTAAACAAATTGGCACACCCGGTGGGACCTTGTGTTGATTTTTACGATTAACCATTTTATATAAAATATCCTCCTTTTTCGAGTGTATTGCATGTTATTGAGAAGTAGTAGAATATACACCAACGAAACCAATACTAGGAGAAGAAGTGAAGAGATGGAGAATCCGCCAAACAACGGAGAAATCCCACAAACAAACGTGGGAGCAACGGTTATCCCAACCATAAGTGAAGAGGTAACCGCTGGTTCAACGCCAGCAGTAACGGTTACACAAACAGGGCCATTACCTCCATTTACAGGCCCCAGAATGCCTTTGGGAACTCCCCCACCAAGGGGAAACCAAGGAACTAGGCCATATGTTCCCCCAGGTTTTTCGACAGTCAGTTTAAATCGAGAACCACTCTATGGCATGCCAACTTCTGAATTGGCTAGCCTGACCGATGTTGCGTCCACTTTTTCAGACCCCTTAGTGAGCGCCTCTTCGCCACTCCAAGGCTCTGGGGTTGGTATGGCGAACAGGGGTAGGACCCAACTCTTAGGAGGAACGTCCCAAGTAATGCATGGCCTTACGAATGCATCGACAGCAGTCTTGAGGCAGCAAATGGACGAAAGCAACCACGATATGGTTCAAATGTTGGCACAAACTTTAAGCACAGTGCTAAATCCTCTAATACAAAATACCACCCAGTCGAATCAGCAAATGACAGTGCAAATGGCGCGTCTGGCTGA